GTACAAGGACGTCATTCCCATCGTACTTTTTAACGTGTAGAATGTAGTACCCATCATACTTTTGTCATGTATAAGTGTCATCCGTAAGTAATGTCACCGTTTTCAGGTGTGGGAGCCGCTTTCCCAGTGGTGGACAAGAATATCACGCGTAATCTTGTTCATGGAGGGATGTTTCATTTGATAGGATAGGATTGGTGGCACACTGGAAAGCTTGAGATGATCGCGTAGTGCGGGAACTGGAATGCCAAAGGCCGAAGGCCCCAGACATACCCTGCTTACCTCCGGATCTCCGTCCATAAGGTCCTGCCTGCGGGGGGGGGGGGGGCGCAAAAACAAAAAATTACCAGAGAGCAGCCCACCATTTTTTTTTTTTTGTTTTTTTGTTTTTTTTGCGCCCCCCCCCCCCCCCGAGAGGCCTCCAGGCCTCCATGCCCACAGCCACACCTTAAGGCCGTGCCCTTATGCCCTCCACCTTCGGGATCTCTTTTGAGCGATTGTCCTGTACTTTATCTCTCGGACAAGTATTCGGTCAAGTCAATGGTTTCGTGGAAACTCAAAGTAACAATTCACAACACGTCGTATTTGTATGCATCTAAAACAATGTGGTTGGAAGTGAAAAGCTTGCTAAGCTTGCCATCTGCGAACGCAGGTGACAACATGAACACACGAAAATACACGCCGCCAGGGCGTACCATACTGAAAAAATGCGAGAGTCTGGGCACCTTGTAAAGATGAAGTTCTCAACTGCGCCGCCTCGCTGGCGGGGAGCTGGCAAGGCCTTTCACGACTTCAGCGTGGGGCTTGCTTGGAGGTTCAGGGGTATAAGTTATAAGTAGGGATATAACTCCGCTAAATATGGGTTATAAGTATAGTTATCCCAATTATAACTGCACGTACTTACAACTGCCCATGAACCTCCAAGTGCTGACCTTTAAACCCAAAACCCTGAAATCCTAAACCCTAACCGTGAATCCCGTTCCATGTCACTAAGGCTCTACGAATCCGGGCTTGAGATTGGGGGGCGGGGGGGTTAAGGGTTTGTAGTCGCGGCTCTGTTTAGTTCTGGGGCTTCATGTGGATTCTTATGAGTTGACATGTCTAATCGTGCTTCATAAGGGATGTTCCTCTAACACTTAACCCTAAGATTCTAGGATGCATGACGATACTGCTACTGGTTTCGCCGGGTCCTCACCGGGTTGGCCCTCAGACCCACATTTGTAATTCCTTAACCCTAGCTCTCGGATCGTGTTTGGGATAGTCAGTCCAGGCGAACTCAAGGGGTGCAGAGCTTCCTGTTTGGAGTTCACTGCACCCTGAACCTTGACTCTGAACCCCAACATGCGCCCGTAACTTAGCCCTCAACCCGAAAACCGACATCCTAGACGCTTCACCCTGGACCCTAGGCCCTAAGCCCCGCGCTCCGACCAGCTCTTAATCCTTAACCTTCCTCCTAACCCTGGCCCAAAGCCCCCTAATCCTAAACGCATAATCGTTAACCCGAAGACGAACCCAGCCGCTTGATGCATGACCCGAACCCCTACGACCGGAACGTTTAGGATTAAGGACTCACCGCAGAACTTTCTTGATTGTCTTTGGGGTGTAGGATGTTGGGTACACAGGACTGAGCCCTAAACCCTAAAGCTGGGTGCTTGCATTTGGAAGGCCAAAGTCTCTGTAAAGGGTTTAAGGTCTGGAGTTTTGAGTCTAGGGCTTGTCTAGAAAAGATTTATTGCGTTTGTGGTTGTAGGGTACAGAGGTTAAGGCCAGGTTTATGTTGGTTGTGGGCCTTAAGTTGCAGAGCGCACTGAGGCGCGCTTCCAGGACACGGCGAATGATGTGTATAAGCTGCGATGCAGCGCGCAGCTGCTCGAAATCCGAATTGCACCGTGCGCAGGCTACCATCGATCGCTACCTTCGTAGGTGCTGTTGGAGAAATATCCTAAACCCTCTGCTTTTGCAAAGCCCGAACCAACCTGAACCTGAAACCCAAAAAAGCTTCACCCCAAAACCCTACACTACAGGGGTCTTGATGATTAGAATCGGGACTATACTATAATTGTCATAAGAAGCTTGTCATAAGAAGCACCCACGACAGTATAGGCAATTATTAAGTACTACCCAGCGAAGCCAGACACCCGGCCTTCAAGAATTCCGGGAAAAGCTCCGACTCACCTGTCACTGGGAGAAGCGGTCAGCGGTCGGAGGGTTGCGGTGTTGGGATTTCGGGTTTCGGGGTTAGGGACTAAGGGCTTGGGGTTTTGGGTTCAGGGGTTAGGGATTAAGGGCTTGGGGTTTGGGATTTTAGGGTTTCGGGGTTCGGGATTAAGGGCTTGGGGTTTGGGATTTTAGGGTTTCGGGGTTCGGGATTAAGGGCTTGGGGTTTTGGGGTTTCGGGGTCAGGGATTAGGGGTTTGGGGTTTGGGGTTTTGGGATTTAGCGTTTCGAGGTTAGGGATTAAGGGCTTGGGGTTTTGGGTTCAGGGTTTCGGGGTTAGGAATTCAGGGTTTGGGGTTTTGGGTGTTTGGGTTTAGGGTTTCGGGATTAAGGGTTTGGGGTTTTGGATTTAGGGTTTCGGGGTCAGGGATTAAGGGTTTGGGGTTTTGGGTTTAGGGTTATGGATTCAGGGTTAGGGGATTTGGGTTTAGGGTTTCGGGGTTAGGGATTCAAGGATGTCGGATTTTGCGGTTTAGGGTTCAGGCGGTTCTGGTGACGTCTGCAGCCGGGTTTTAGGATCTGTCACTTCGATGGTTTAGGGCTTTAGATCTAGGATGATTTTGGGGTTTAGTTAGGGCCGGAGTTGGCGGTTTAGGCTTGAGGCTACAGGAAGAGAGTTCTCAAGCTTGCTGTTGTCTGGGGGGTGGGGGGTGGACGTTAAGACTTCGTGCTGGTTCGGTGCTAGGGCCGTGGAACGACTCGCAGTGCTTGGAGGCCCAAAGAAAAGGACGCATGCTCACAGGCGGGGCTACTATGCTGGAGCTAGCAAGCCCGCCGAACTCCGCAAACCCTCAGTCTGCAAATGGGATCACTCCGGGTCGTGTCCTTGGGTCGTAGAGCCATCGAACTTCAAAGAAAGCATAGAGGGGCTCGAGAACCGAGAACCCAGCACCAAAAGCTGCAAGAGAGTCTCTCTATCTGGGAGTTTCCGAAAATTTGGAGTACCTTATTTTGGGGTCGGATCCTACTATTCAGAGTACGAAATTAGGGTCCCCTATTTTCGGAAACCCCCATCTGGGATCATGCCATCAGCAGGTTCAGGGTTGCACCTCAACCCTGGAGAACCTGGAACTTCAAGCCCCCAAGGTCTGAAAAACCTCAAGCCCAAGGGGAAAAGGAGGGACCCTTAATGGGGACCCCTACCCTGTAATGGGCTATATAATGGGTATATAATGGCTATATTATGGGTATATACCTAGGGGTCCTTATTAGGGGTCCCTCCTTTTACCCTTTGATCCAGCCAAACCCCAGACCCTAAACCTACCCTAGGTATTAGGTGCCGTACTAGAATAAGGACCCAAAAAAGGTACCCTAATTTTGACAGCCACCCATCTGGGATCCGAGGCACCCCACATATATTTAATATTCCCTAAACCCTAAACCCCTAGGGGTTAGGGTTTAGGGTTTAGGGTCTAAACCCCTAAACCCCTAAACCCTAAACCCTAAACCGCGACTCCTACATCACAGTCTGAGGTCCGAGAAGCTAGTCCAGGCGTGCGCCGCCCTTGGGGCCGGGCGATCCCAGAGAAAGCGAAGAGCTCCAGGCATGGCTTCGCCCGGATTTTTGTTGGGGGGGATTTGTGCTTGTTTATGGGCTCCTTGAAGGGTTACTGTAAGGGCTATGTTGTGGGGGGAGGGGGGATGTTTAGGGGTGCGGGGGTTTAGGGTTTGTTGGAGGATAGGGGCTGTCGTAAGGGCTACTGGGTGGGCGGGAGGGGTCTGGGCTTAGGGTTTGGGCTTCAAGATGTTGGGTGGTGTTCCTGTTTTAGGGCTTTGGGGTTCTAGGGCTCTCGGGACTTAGGGTGGCGAGGTGTGAAGGGTGTCTTAAGTCCCAGGCTTAAGGATCGCTAGTTTAGGAAGCCTCCCAATAACTAAGGAATACTGAGCGGTTGGTGGAGCTTAAAGTCCGCAGGCCAGGGTGTAGGGCTGTGGGTCCATGTCAGAGTGTCTAAGAGCTTTAGTGTTTCAGGTTCGAGGGTAAGGGCTCCAGAAATGAGTGTGCAGGATTAAGGAGTGGAGCTTAATGGCTCTAGGAGTTAGGTTGCTGCTAAGGCGTGAGGGCTGATCGGGTTTCGGGGCTCCGAATATAAGGTTTAGCGTTCAGGCTGTGGGGTTGCACAAGCAGCCTGCGTCCTCATTTTAGGGTTTAGGGTTTAGGGTTTTGGGTTTAGGGTTTAGGGTTTAGGGTTATGCCACTCCGCAACACAGCCTGTGCTTTTCTTCACAGGCTGGTTGTAACCATCGCGCGTTTCGAGTGCAGTTGTGCAGCATGCAAGGTCAACGAGGGATCGGGGTCCTCAAGGGATTCGAGTTCTGGGCTGCGGGTTTTCGAGTTAGGGTTCGGGGTTGAAGCTATTCAGCTGTAAAGGTGCTTGATGTCGATTTCAAAAACGCCAAACCCTGCAAGAATGCACAGGCACAAGATGTGGTCTTCGGGTAATTGTGACGGTTTGGGGCTAAGGAACCGAACTCAGCCCGACCTTCCTCGACCGCTTCTCCCTAACCTTCAGACTTCGACCTTACACCCACCACCCTATACCCTCAATCCTGAACCACGAACCCTCAAACCTATACCCTGCACCCTAGACTTCATCCCCTACATTAACCCTCAACCCACCAGAAATAAACTCTAAAACCCCACAACCCAAAACCCGAAACCCTCAAAACACCCCAAAGCCTAAACCCTAAAACCCTGAAGTTTAAAGCCCCCAAGCCACAAACCCCACACCCTAACCCACCTCTCAGTAGCCCATACACCTCCACGTGGAAACCTCCGAGTCTTGCACGGCCCTCTGCGCGCTTCGCCAGCGGATGAAGTTGTTCAGGTTCCTTCCAGGATAGGGTTAAGGGGTTTAGGGTTTAGGTTTTAGGGTTTTGGGTTTAGGGATAGGGTTAAGGGGTTTAGGGTTTAGGTTTTAGGGTTTAGGGTTTAGGGATAGGGTTAAGGGGGTTTCGGGTTTTGGGAGGGTAGTTCTCTGAATTGGGGTCCCCTTTTGGGTCCTTGTTATAAGGGGGCCGTACTAGTTTGGGACCTGAGAAGGGACCCAACTTCAGCGAACTACCCATATAGAGTTTAGGGTTTAAGGGTTTAGGGGTTCAGGGCTTGGGGTTTTGGGCTGGGATTTCAGGGTTCAGGGTTTGAGAGTTTTGGGGCGCAGGGGTTTGGGCGTTTAAGAAATGTAGGGGTCTAGGGGTTTACGGTTTAGGGCTTGTAGTGCTTAAAGTTTAGTGCTTAGGGTCAAGGCTCAGGGTTGAGGATTCAGGGTTTCTGGCACTGATGATCCCATGGGGTGTAGGCTAGCAAAGCCATGGTTGCGAGCACCGAGTTTTCACAGGGTTTATTGCATAGAGACAGATACTGTACCAGCAATAGACCAATCTTGTTTGAGAGGATTCGGTTCGGAATCTGTCTGCTGGCCCACTCTGCGGAGGGTTTGGGGGTTTTAAGAGCTACAGCTAGCGGCTAGGGTTTAAGGATCTGGGGGTTTAAGGTTGTAGATTGAGGGTTGAGGTTTAGGGTTTCGGGTTCAGGGTTTAAGGGACTACCCCTGACCCCCCAGGCCTGTTCTGAGCTCTGGGAAATGCCAGGTTTGAAACTTTAGGTTTGCAGCTCGAATATACGATTGTCACAGAAGCCCCGATTGATTTAGAACCCTTATGAACACAGAACCCTCCCAACACCCCACATTCTGAAACGAGCGGCTCCGCATCAAACCGCGCCAGTCCTCTGCACACGCTGGGCCTCGGGATGCTCCTCACAAAGCACGCCAATCCCAGGGTACTTCGCAAGGAATAAGGCATGCGGTGCCATGCAGTGCGGGTTGGGGGCTTTATAGTTCCGAGTTTGAGGTTGCGGCAGAACCCTAAACCCTCAACAAAAACCTTGTAGAACCCCTAATCCTACACCCCGAAGGAGGCTCCTTCCCAAATGCCGCAGCATAGCCGACCGCAGCCCGGCGGAGGAGAGCCTCCAGTCACGCAAGTTTGCACCTTTATGGGGTTCAGAGTTCTTAGAGTGCATGGGCTCCGGGGCTTCTAAGGGCACTCCTGAATCACAGAATCCGAGGCGAGCGGAAACCAAGCCCAGGCCTTAAGTCGACCATGCACCCAAGAGTTCGGGTGTTTAGGGTTTAGGAGTTAAGGATTTGGGGTTTCGTTTCTTGGTTTTAAGTGGGTTTCGGGTTTAGGTTTTTGGGTTTCTGGGTTTGGGGGGTCTTTGGGTTTAGGGGTTCAGGGTACCTGAACCCTAAACCGTGAACCCCAAGTCTCCTCCACTGACAACTTGAATGAACCGAAGAGAGACTCCCCTAAACCCCAAACCCATATGGGAGCTTCCGAACATTATGGGTACCGTATTTTGGGGTCCTTATAATAAGGATCCTAGAATTTAGGGTACTATATTGGGGTCCCCTATTTTCGGAAACACCCATATCACGAAATGCCTAGATGAAGCAAAGAAAGGTTCCCAGCTCGTTCAGCGATGCTTGGAGACCGGTACGTGAATTTGTGAAAGCCTGACAAAGCCCCCATCAAACCCATATAAACCTCTAAACCTTCATGAAATCCTTGAAAGAAGAAGGCCACCTGTGCCGCAACACAGGTGACGCACGTGTTGCCTTCCCGGCGTGAAGAACTTCGGCCTGCACGAACCATGATCAGCTACAAACTTATCGCAGCTCGAGAGCCACTCGAGACCCAATACGAGGAGCTTTGAGAAGATCGCATGGCCAAGCGATCAGCGGATACCTTTCTTCATCAGCATCCTGAAAACCCCCTTGAGCTTATCCGCACCCCGGTAGCTCTTGCACGTGGAACCCACACAGCCCTTCGATTCCACAGACCTTAAGAAGCTTTGGCGTCCTGTGTAGCTCGTTGGCCGCATGCTCGGCAAACTTAGACGTGGTCTTTAGGATGCCGATCGTCTCTCGGATCTGCGGATCCAGGCAACATTCCGGGGTTCCTGGAAATAAACCGCATACACAACCACATCGACAGGGTTTTCAAATCCATATACTCCTTCCAGAATACACACTCGTCTGGAATTGGGAGCGCCCTGCTGGAAGTTCACCTGCACGGAACTGTCCGGACCCATGCACTGCATGGAACATCATAGTTAGCAACCCTTTGAAGGAACCCTTCAAAAGAAGCTTTAAAACTTTAAAGCAAAACACGGTTACCTTGCCAAGGAACCCTTACATGTAAGCCTTTGAAGCCTTGAAACACAGAAGGAGAGTTACCCTTTGAACGGAACCCTTAAAGGGTGGTCCCAGCTTCAGGTAGGGCCCTTAACACCCTAAACCAAAAACAAACCTATACCCTAAACCCTAAACCAAAAAAAACCTAAACCCTAAACCAACAAAAACCCTGAACCCTAAACCCTTAAAGGGTGGCCTCAGCTTCAGGTAGCACGGCACTGTGGCGCTCTTTGGGAAGCTGCTTCAGCAGCACGGCGAGGTTTCGGACCTGAAGGGTTCGGGCTTTAGGGTTTTAGGGTTTTAGAGTTTTAGGGCTTTAGGGTTTTAGGGTTTAGGGTTCTAGGGTTTTAGGGTTTTAGGGTTCTAGAGTTTTAGGGCTTTAGGGTTTTAGGGTTTTAGGGGTAGGGTTTTAGGGTTTTCAGGTTTAGGGTCTGGGGTCTAGGGTGTGTAACCGTATGCGCGCGGTGGGTGCACAGGAATAGGGGTGCACCCACTTATCGCGTGCTGGCGTCAGCATGTAATCCCGCCCTCGGCAGTGTAGGATTCAGGGTTTTAGGGTTTAGGGTTTGCCGTGGAGTGGCGCATAAGCGGAAGTATCTTGCGACAGTGTAATTTTGAGTGCATCGTCATGTGACGATTGGCCGTTGGAGCCTGATTGTGGATGGCTCTTTCCCGTCCTGATGCAGCTATACTGAACTTAGAACCCCAGCAAAAATGTTTAATTTTAGCTGCTTCTTAGACATTATAATAACCAACAAATCAAAATTTCTTTCTAAGTACCCCTAAGGCAGCAAGCCGGGCAAGGTCCTTGGTTTCTGCTCGGAGGCCCTCAACGACCGGTTTGTAGGAGAGCTTTTTTTTTGGGGGGGGGGGGGGCTACCGTCCCCATGGCTGTGGAGAGGGGTCTGGGGTGCTCTGCGCCTCCCACCCACGGTAGGTGGGCGGCCTACCTGTAGCCGAAAAGACCTACCTTTTTAAGGAACTATATATAGAAACCATAATAAGGAACCCTAAAACGGTAGGTCTTTCCGGCTACAGGTATGCCTTGAGTTTAGGGCTTACGGGGTTTAGGGTTTAGCGTTCGGGTCAGCAGCAGCAGCGGCGGCAGTAGCAGCGGTAGAAAGGACAGGTACCATAGGGGCCTTCATTAAAATAGTGTTATAATCACAAACCCTCCCCGCCAAAAAAATATCGTATAGGTAATTACTCAGGTCCCTACATTAAGGGCGGGTTGGCTGGGTTGACCTTGAATTCAAGCTAGCCTCAACTCTACACTGAACTTAGAACCCTAGCAAAAATTATATTTTTAGCTGTTTCTTAGGGATTATAATAACCCAAAATTAAAAACTGTTTCTAAGTACCCCTAAGAACTCGGGGTCGGGCTTAACCCTAACCTCAGCTCGCGAAAAGGTGTGAGAGTGGCTCAACCCTTTTAGGGCTGAGGTTTACCCTGCTAAGCGGTTTAGGGTTTAGGATTTAGGGTTCAGGGTTTAGGGCCGGGATTCCATACCGACTTCAGCCGGGTAAAAAGAAACAGCTTTATAGGGGTGCCCTGCGACGGCAGAAGATTGTCCAATTAAGGGTTCTGCAAACCCATAGCTTCTTGAATTAGGATTCTATGACAAGGGCTTGAAGAGGCTTCTACACAGCATTGGCACGGATTCCATGAAAGTTTGCAGGGATGTCCGAACTCTCAACAACCCTGAACCTCCTGAGTTCCAGGCGCAGCTGAGTGTCTGTGGATGCTCGGGTCCCAAGGAATCCTGCTGCCCGCTGAGCTGAAGGTCCAAAGCTTCGGGCTTTGAGGCTTGGGGCTAGCTTGGAGGTTCAGGGGTAGTTATAAAAGTAGGGTTATATGTAGGGTAACTATACTTATAACCCAAATTAGGGGACTTATTACCCCACTTATAACGACCCCCTGAACCTCCAAGTGGCGGTTTTAAGACTTAAAGCTTCCGGCTCTAGGGCCGGAGATTGAGGAAGCTCACTTGGAGGATCATGGGACTTAGTAAGGTTCCTTAAAGGGCTCCTTAAAGGGATCTGTAGGGTTCCTTATAAAGAGATCTATAGGTTTTAGGGTTTAGGGTCTACTTGGGAGGATCATGGGACTTAGTAAATAAGGTTCAGGGTTCCTTTTAATAAGTGTACTATAGGGTTCTACAATGGGGTGCCTTAAAGGGATCTATAGGGTTCTATAATGTGGATCATGGGACTTAGTAAGTAAGGCTATAAGTACCTTAATTTGGGTTATAAGTAGTTATAAGTATAGTTACCCTAATCATAGCCTCAGTTACTAAGTCCCATGATCCTTTCAGTAGGGACTGAGGGCTTGAGGGCGCAGGTTGAAGGACAAAGTAACCTGGCTTGGGGCTGAAGCCTTTGGCGTTTAGGGGGTTAAGGTTTAGGGTTTGGGGGTTGACGGGGTTAGGGCAGGGTTTGGGGCTTAGAGTTTGGGGGTTTGGGGTTGAAGGCGAAAGGCTTTGGGACCTAAGGCTTTACAACTGCCTTCGTGACTGCCGAGTTGGGGGATTGCAGAGGTTGAGTGCTTAAGGCCTTTGGGGTTTCAGGAGATGGGGCTGATTTTCCATGTCACGGCTTGAAGGAACCCTGAGCCTTCTGCTTAGCATGTAGCCTAGAGACTCCAATATCCCTTAATTAAGGAATATACCTTAAATTATAGTAGGATCCCTAATATGATTTAAGGCATATTGTCTCTGGGAGCAGACTGTTAAACTGAAGCCAGCACGTGGTTTACGGTTTGGATGAAGCTTTCAACATCATCTCAAACTGAGAAGCGGCATGTCCCAGGCGTCGTACTGTCGTACTGCCTGAGGCCTTGCGGAATCTGCACCCATGCCCACATCTACGAAGCCCACCGAAAAGTTCATGTAAGCCCTGGAACTCGTCCATTGTGTTATGAAGCATCGTCGTCCCTGACTTAAAACGTACCAAGAAGTTGCTGGGCAGTCTCAGCCAGCCGTGCGCATGCACAAACTGTGGAACCCTTACAGAAACTGACTCACAGCTATTGGAAACCCTACAAAACCCTTAACCATAAACTCCTAAACCCTAACCCCTTAACCCCTAAACTTCTAAACCCCTAAACCCCTAAACCCTAAAACCCTAAACCCCTAAACCTTAAACCCTGCCCTAAACCCCTAAACCCTAAAACCGCCTAAACCCCAAACCCTAAACCCCCAACCCTAAACCCTAAACTCCTAAACTCCTAAAACCCCTAAATCTCCTAAAACCCCTAAAACTCCTAAAGCTACGAAACCACTCACTTCCGAAAGCCGCCTCGAAAAGGCCAAGCGCTCCACGCAGCAGAGGCTCGGCCTGGTGAGGCTCTGGCGGTCTAAAAAGCCGGGTCCTTAAGGGTTGGGTTTAGGGTTTAGGGTTTAGGGTTTCCTTAAGGGTTCCTTTTTTTAGGGATCTATAGTACTGTTGATGATATAAATCCTGGGGTTCCTTCAAAGGGATCTATAAGGTACCCGAAGGAGCCAGGGTTTACCTTGGGATCCGAAAAACCTACCGTTTAAGGGGTTCTACCCTCCAAAAAAAGGGGTCATAACCTATATACTGTTTTGTAGGATTTAGGGCTTTAGGGGTTTAGGGGTTTGGGAGTTTAGGAGTTTAGGGTTTGGGGGTTTAGGGGTTTGGGGGTTTGGGAGTTTAGGAGTTAGGGTTTAGGGTTTAGGGGTTTGGGGCTTCGGGTTTAGCGGCTTAGGGTTCAGGGTTGAGGGTTTGGGGTTTAGGGTTTGGGGTTTAGGGTTCAAGTCAAGGGGCTAAGCGTTTAGGGCTGAGTGTAGGGTTTGGAGTCAGACTTCCGAACGTGGTTACAAGGGCTTCAGTGGGGTTGTGTAGGATTTCAGCCGGGTTCTGATGTGCTTCACAGGCTTTCTAAGAGCGGTCAATTCACTAAACCCTAAACCCTAAACCCTAAACCCTAAACTCGTAATAAGACGCCCAACCCCAAACCCTGCAGCCGAAAACCTGATCCTAAATCCTAAAACCCAAGATGCCGAATCCTAAACCCGAAACCCTGAGATCCCCATCGCTAGATCCCAAGGCTATTTCCTTCCTTCAATGGCATTGCACTCAGTCTGTGTATACTCAGGAACCCAAAAATATCTATTTCTGACAATAGGCTTACATTCAGGAGCCTCAAAAAACCTGTGGGAAATTAGTCCGACTGCGGAAAACCCTAAACCCCAAACCCTAAACCCCAAACCCTCAACCCTAAAGCCTGGAGTTTGGGTTTCGGGTTTCAGGCTATTCCCCCCGAGTCCCCAGTGCTCCATGCTCTGAAGCCCCGAAGCCATAAACCCCAGAGTGCTCAACTTCGCGTTAGTTCGAAAGCGGTAACTTCCCAACCCAATTGAAACTCTTAGCCTTTGCGGCCTCTCCAAAGCGGCCCTGCATATGCAGAATCTGCGCAAGCCTGGCACACATCGGAAGTTTGGCGTTGGGCTTCAGGGTGGAGGTTGAGGATAATCAGGAGGTAGGGTGTGCGGATTATGCTCGACTCAGCTTCGAAGTGATGCAACGAGAGGAAGAATAGCAACAAGGTTCCAGAGGTATACTGGTGAGAAGTATGAAAACGTCTGGGTTCGTATTGGAGCCCACACCCTAAACCCTAGGCCCTAAACCCTAACTCCTAAACCCTAAACCCCTAAACCCTAAACCCCCAAACCCTAAACCCTAAACCCTAAAATACTGTCTGAAACTCTCGTGTTCACAGCCGAAGCTCAGGGATCTGCAGCCGCTTCTGCCATCCGTCCGAGTCGCCGCGCCATGCACCGGCATCACTTGGAGGTTCAGGGGTAGTTATAAGGGTTCCTTAAAGGGATCTATAGGGATTCTATAGGGGTACATAATGGGTTTAGGGCCTACTTAGGTTATATCGTCCTCACCGAAGTGAACCTCATCAATTCTCATTTTGCCCTGACCAGTCACCTTCGGGAACTCAGACATAGCCGCTATGGTCTTCACCGTGAGCTCCATCACCATGAAGCTTTTGGGGAGCTTCTTGTCGGGATTGATAGAATCAGACACGACACGGTTGGCTCTGTCAGACAGATTCAGCTTCAGGCGCCGGCCTTCATTGAAGAAGGAATCCTCAGTCAACATTGATTGAGCTGTTCGCAAATTCAAGGGCAGGCTGCTGTTTTTCAAGCGAGCTGCGAACAAGTAGGGATCTGTTGAAGGCTGTGCAGTCATGCGTAATAGTGATGTGCAGTCATGTGTGATCGTGATGCTGCGCGAGATGGTTCGAAGGACCTGTGCTTTTTCTTGCAAGGCAGTGCATGTCTTAAGGCATATGCAGGCCGCATGATCAGCAGTCAGGACTTTCGCATGCTGTCGTAAAAGGTAAATTCGGTGCCGGCTTGCCATGTGTTTTGCCCCTCTGCTTTAAGCTGAACTGAGAAGATCAAAGGCCGTAAGCCCGGACGTGGAAGTGCAGATTTACAGGTTATGAGTCGCCCAAGTGAGGGTGCGGCTACGCTTGAAGGGGAAGCCTCGGGACCGAACTACGGAGCTATGAATGGAGTGGCACCTACACATGGCGCCAGGCGGTCTGGAAGCTCTTCAACGCTGCCTTTGGGACGTCTCCCATTTACGCAGCCAGCCACAGGAGCAGCTATGGATGGGCCCCTTGGTGCATCAATGGTGGGCCGAGGCCAAAGAAGGGCGCGAAGTGCTGAGGTTCAGCCAACCGGACCCGACGTGGAACCTGCCGGATCGGGCGCGAACGTACGTGACGATGAGCCCCAGCAGCCACAGCCTCAGCAGCAGCCTGCATCGTGCCCAACAGTAGCAGCAGAAGTTCCATCCTCTAGCGTAGCGCCACCAACGGAGCAACGTACACTGCGGCAGCCTTCAACTACTTCTACTACGAGAGAAAGGCTGCCACCTCCGCTTCAACAGGCAGTCCAACAGCTAGCTCAGCAGAGAACGGCAGTGATTCAGGCAGTGCAAAGCAGGGCCCAGCGAGCTCTGCATGGCCAACGGTCCGATGACACCCCAGGGTCTCGAGCTGAAGGAGGTCTCTTCGTGAATGCAGAGAACTATGGATCTCCACAGGCGTCCCCTGTCTCTGAAGAGGACCGAGGACCTGGGTCATGGTCTGTGACAAGAATCAGCCAGGTGCTTCACAGGCGGCTGGTGGCGCCAGTGCTGGAACATGTGGGCGGCGGTGATCGCGGCCCCGGTCCTGCGCAGTCTCCGACTTGGCACTCGCCAGCCCAAGCTGGAGCACAGGAGTCGCTGATGTCACATGAAACGAGGCAAGCTATGGCAACATGGACGGCTAGACCTACAGTCTTGACTACCCCTACGGCACCGACGGCCCAGCGGCGAGAGGACAGCTCAGGTGAGAGTATGAACCAGGAAGTCATCATGGATGAAGTTCGACGCCAAGTCCAGATGGCTATGCGCGGAAGAGACTCGGAGCTTCAGGCTTTGAGGTCTCAGAACAGTGAGCTGCAAAGAGCCTTGGATACCTCGGCTCAGTTGCTGAATGACATTGTGCAGCAGGGCGGAGGAGCATCGGTCCGAGATTTCCAAGAGGCTTCGCGTGGACTTCCAGGCCCTGAACCTGGAGGCGTTCCTGCAGGTGGGGATCGAGGACTTAAGGTGCAAGGAAGTGCTCCGCCTGGACTTGAAGGTCTCCCTCGGCTACCAGGCGGCAATCCTCGGGAGCAAGGGCGGCGAGAACCATCCTTTGAAGGAGTCCCTCGAGGAGCCCATGGACATGCAACTTCGTCTGGGGGAAATCCTGGATTTGGAGGCGCAGGGACTACGAGTGCGTCTTTGCCGGGACCCCTGAGAGATGGTGGCGTGCAAGGAGCTGGGGAACCGGGAGAAGAGCTGTCTCCTTTGGATATCTTGGTGCAGGGCATGAAGCAGCTGCAGCAAGTGTATATGGACAAGAAGTCTCCGGAGTCGGAGGCCTTGAAGGGGAGCGTCGAGCTTCCGACCCTCCCGGACTTGTCGGGGGACACTGGGGTGGAGTTCAGTGATTGGCTGTATGTGGCGGAGCAGATTGTGGGCTCCCTCTCCGACTCCTCTACCAGTTGGTTTGCGAGTACACTAGCGCTAGCGAAGGAGGCCTACCACAAGCATCAACAGGCCACTCCCTTGGAGCGTTTGACGATCTCCCCGGTGATCCCACCGGAGCTGGCGGCAGCAAAGTGGAGCCGCCTTGAGCGGCGTGTCATGACGATGCTTCTTACTGCAATGCCGAAGGCGGTCAAAGAGGACGCGGTCACCCACCGGGTAGGAACTGTGGCAGGGGCGATGTTTCGCTTGCATGTCTTGTACGCCCCTGGTGGAGTAGCAGAGCGAACGGCGATCCTCAAGCAGCTTGAGGGCCAGGCGGGCGGCGAGAATGTGATGGAGGTCATAGCGACTTTGAGGAAGTGGCGAAGGAACCTCACCAGGGCCATTGAGATGGGCGTATCCCCACCAGATGCCAGTGTTCTGCTTCGAGGGATAGAGATGATCATTGGTGGAGCCCTGAAGCGACTGCCAGATACCAGTTTCCGGCTGGCCTTAGCCAGGAATGAGTTGCAGCTGCAGAACCGGCCCACTCAGGACACAGTGCTTCGCTACTTCGACCACGCCCTTGCTGAACTTCAGCAATCAGCCCCTTCGCGAGCTGTGAGGGCGCCAGGCGGAGGAGATGATCCTCCCAAGCTACGTGCGGCGGATGCTCAGGCAGGAACGGGAGGTACGGCAACGAGGACGCCTCCGGGATCTCCATCGAAGTCGGGGCAACGGCAAGGATGCAAGTTTTTCTTGTCGGACCAAGGTTGCCGCCGTGGTGCTGGGTGTAAGTACGCGCATGAGTTTGCCAGTAAGGATGAGAAGCGGTCCAGATGTTGGTTTTGTGGTTCGAAGCAGCATCGCCAGTCTGAGTGCCCCGTTAAGGACCCCACGAAGGCGAAGGGCGCGGGAAGTGGACCTACGGCTTCCTCCACTTCTATGTCTCCTCAGGCGACTACTACAGTGGCGGCAGCAACAGCCCCGGAACCCGGGGCTATGATGGCCCCGTATGGGAATTCGGCAAGTTCTACTATGTCGACTACCTGTTCTGAGGGCCCTGTGGTGCAAGCGGAACCGGTGCAAGCTTTCACGCCTGAGGTGATGCAGAGTCCTGAGCTACAGAACTTCGTGAAGGAGGTGAACACCATGTTGCAGAGAATGTCGGCGCTGAGGGCAATGAGGGCTCGAGAACCGATTGCTCCCGAGATGGCCAAGATGGAGAAGAGTTTGGAGGCTTTCGAGCTTCCCGAAGAGCCTTGGGCCCTGCTTGACTCCGGAGCTACGCACCCGTTCAAGAATGTGACCCCAAGGGATGAGGACCAGACGCTTCCGGTTCAGGTCACTTTGGCGGACGGCAACAAGGTGGTTCTACAGCAGAACAGAGCAGGCACCTTGATGCCGGCAAAGGGTTCCTCTATGGCGAGCGGGGTGGCCACCACCACCATAGTGCCCCTCGGCACACTGGTTCGGGAACTTGGATGCACGGTGTCGTGGGATCGTCAAGGCTTGAAGGTCAAGCATCCGGAGCACGGGGTGATCACCACCCATGTTGCTGGCTCTTGCCCCTTCATTGGCGAAACCAAGGCCTTGCAGTTGATAGAGGAAATCGAGGCGCGGAAGCTAGAGCAGCTCAAGGTGAAGACCGTTGAGTCGCAGTTGAAGATGAGGGGCATTGAGGCTACGGTGAGTTTCGAAGCCCAGCTCCACGAGTACAGGCGCACCGGCAAAAGAGCAGATGGTCTTCAAGCCCTGTTGTGCGAAGACTCGGTGTTTGGGGTGATGACAGAAGCTCAGCGTTGTTCCTTGATTCAGGATGTCGACCTCAGCGACAAGGCCGGGCACAAGTACCTCAAAGCTTTGCCAGTGAAGAGAGCTATGAGAAGACGCTTGATGACCTCTAGGTGGATGGTCCATTTTTACTCTGGCGAGGCTACCGGTGATGGCTCGGGTTTCAAGGTTCTCGAAGAAGAGGGAGTCACTTTGTTGGAGATTGACATTGGCATCAGTCGCTCCTACAACATGCGAGAGCCGGGCCCAGTGTATCAGGCTTTGCTTTGGGCGGCTATGCGAGGCCAAGTACATGGAGTGTTTGGAGGCCCTCCGCGAGCAGAGGGCACGGGCAACTTGGTGATGAAGCAGATGTTCATTTGGACTCTTGCTAGGCTGGCCGCTGAGAGCTATGAGATTGCGAGCCCGGGTTTTGCGATGTGCATGCCAACCAAAAGTGAACTGTGGAGCTCAAAGCTTTGGTCGTCGTTTAGAAGAGAGTATGGTGTGAACCTAAAAAAGGGGAGAGCCAGGGATTTCCGTTGCCACTACGCTCGAAATGGAGCTACCTGAAGGACCCTGGGAACGACTACTTCCAAACGGGACATTGACGTGGACTACGGACTTCAAGGAGGCTC